CGATCATGTTTATATCAGACTTTTTTAGGGCATAAATATATAAAAGAAATAGAAACCGATACCGTATAGTAATCCCGTTGAAAACTCTTATAACTCTCATCAAAAGTGCATTCGACGAGCACCAATGTCAATAAAAAAAATCCATAATATAGCAAAAAACGAAGAACACCCACCCAAAAGATTTTTTAAAATTAAAACTCTCAATAATGATAAATAATCAGGCAGGAGCTGAGCCAAATGGGGGGAAGAGTGGAGCGGGTGAGGCGAGCGTAGGAGACCCCGTCCGAGCGAAGTGTTTGTGGAGCTTTGTTGTGGACGGCGATTATCGCGTATTTCGGCTCCTCTCTCATTTTGGGTGCTTCCTGTGGCTTCCATGACCCCCCGCCGCCTACTATGAGCATTGAAACATGTTCAAGAAGAACGCCACCTCAGGAGACGTCAAGAAAAGCCAAAGCAAATGCCTGGACGTCAAGCGAGATACGCCCACCCGCCTGAAGCATCTGCGGGCGGTGCTGGGTGAGGGACCAACACCTTCCTTATTTTCCTTCCTTTTCCTTTCTTTTCCTTCCTCTCCGCCTGATTTCGAGTCCCTGCTGGCTCCCGCGGCGGCCCTCGCACTTCGGGGGATTTCATGGGTGTTCGTAGAAGGGCGATAGAGTCGTTATTTGCCGTTTATTGATGTGTAGGGGACGTATAGGGAGTGATGGCGAAGTCCCCCTCTGGCTTAAGGGAAATGGCTATTTTCTCGCGTTATGCTTCGGTTTCTTCAGCCTTATGGTCGGTTTCTTCGCATATATGAGGTAGAAGGTGTGGAATAGATCTATACCCGTCAGCTGGGTTGTGTCAACACTCGGACAAAAGGGTCATTTGGAGGTGTTGGGTGAGGTGGATGTCATTTTCTTACCCCGAGGCTGTGTTTCTGGCTTGGCTTCATGGCTTTTGTGATTTATGTTGTCTTTGGTCTTTGGTCTTTATTTCCTCTACTTAGTTTTGGGTCGAAGGGATTTACAATAGGGTTTAGGAGGAGTGTAGCTTGACGCCCTTGTCTTTGGTCAGAGTTGCTGCGTTGGAATTTCAGATTTAAGAAGGTGGCTCAATAGAGATGTATTTGTTATTCTCTTTTCATCTTAAACAATTTGGTTGGTTTTAAATGTGCTTTGATAATGATTGCATTGCATGTAACAGGATTTTATTTTTTCTAACTTAATGTCATGGAAAAATAGATGTTATAAAGTATCAGACTTGGTGTTTAATCTACATTTTCTCTGATTACTTACTACACCATTATATATATTCACAATATCCTCTTTCATGCTTTTCGCACAAAAAAAATAGACACATTGTGTCAATTTAACAGGATTGATATGGTAAATATACTTTGGAACACTGACATTGATGAGAAAAATAGGAGTAATTCTTAAATCTTGGACCTTATAAGCTGGCTCTTAAGTACCATGGTCCCTGAGCTCTTGGCCGTGATGTATTATAAGGTTTGTCTTGTGTAAATATGAGTTGTAGGGATTTGTTGTGTTTTGCTGTAGTACCATGAGGGTCGGAAGGCGATGGCAGTTGCTTCAGACACCGTTGATGTTTCTTAGATGAGAATCACTGGGTTTACCTTGATTTTCTTGGATGATTTGCTATACTTAATTGTATTAGTTTATATATTTATTTCATTACCTTGGTCTATATGAATCTCTTCACATTTCTCAATTTAAAAATCACATTTTTTGTCTATAGTTTTGTGTGCAATTCAGGTGATTCTAAGCACTGTTTACTCTTAATTTTTTTTTTTGTTATTTACATTCTTACACCCATTCTTTCTTGCATTGTCAACACCACCAGAAAATGATTAAAGGAAATAACTTATTAGCATTGCATATTTTATTGAATGATATGATACTTCTCAAGTTTTGACAAAATGTATCCATTGTATTCTTGGAAAATGATAAAAAATCAGGCTCTGAGATTTCTATTAAGAAAAAAAAAAAAAATGCATATCCTGTTAGTAGACCATAATACCAGTAATAAACAACCAAGAGCAATTTAGGAGACTGATTTATTAGACAAGATGCCATGGCAATTGAAGTACACTGTATCATTACAGTATGAGTAAGGAGAATGAAAAATCAATTCTAAGTACCAGTAATACTACAAATGTTTATATGTGCAGTTTTACTTGGCACACAATCTTGATATGTATTCCATTTTGTTTGTTGTCTTAAGATGGAATATCGTACTACCTATCAATTTGTGAAATTATTTGTAATCTATGTCATAGATGAGAAATGTGAAGTAAATCGTTGGTGATTAGATCCTCACGAAGTATATGTATATATATATATATATATATATATATATATATATATATATATATATATATAGATAGATAGATAGATAGATAGATAGATAGATAGATAGATAGATAGATATATGTATATATATGTATATATATGTATAATAATCTGTACAAAGTGAAGGTCAGCCCATAGTATCATATTAAAGTTTGTGTGTTTACATGGGGTGTGTTTACATAGTGGCTAGAAGACTGGCTCAAATCATATTTTGCCAAGTAAGAGCTCATAGACCTCCCCAGATTGAACTAGTCAAGCCTCTTTCTTTCCAGTATATGTGGTAGAAGCTTGTTGGGTTTTAGCAGAGTGCAAGTTAGAGGTTACTGCATTGCATGATGCAGTCTTGATATATTTTCATTTAAGGCTTTTTATAGACGTCTTAAGCTTCCATACTTGTTGGTTATGATGTTTTTTCATGCAGTTATCTCATATCTTTAGTAAAAACTGCTTGCAATTTAAAATTTTCGAGACAGGAATCTCATTTTGTTTTATAAAGATTATGAAACCATTTGTCAAGATATGAGATGAATCCTATTTTATTTATCAATTGATTTATTTATCTTCCTGTTTATTCATTTGGTATTTGTTGCCAAGAGTGATGCACCCTTTAGAGACAAAGCCCAAAAACTAGGGTATCATGCGAATCCAAAATCCAAACCTTTCCTACCTTCTATTTATTCTCTAGAATAGCCCCCCCCCTTTATTAGCACTTTGTGCCTACTTAAAGAGAACATGAGATTAAGAATTCTGGCTGTGTGAGGGTGTTGTGGCTATTTTTGTCATTTCCCGATAAATATGAGGCCGCTGCAGATGTACCTATGTTGCTTCTTACTCTGTTTGTTATACTCAATAAGATGGCATTTTCTTCTATCTTTATGCATTGCTCTCGGCAACATTAACCATTCATTTTATTTGTATATGGATATGTATTTATATTTATTTATGTTCTGTATAAAGAGGCACACCTATATTTGTTATAGTTCTTTTGTAAAAAAAAATATGTAATGTACTATTACAGGCTTGTCTTTGCTGTCTTTATCTCTTTCCTTGATTAATGTTATGCCAGCCTTGTGCAATCTGAAATTAATATTTATGTTATATCGTGTGTTGGCTACCTGGATAGTGACTGGATGGCATTATAATTTTTGGGAATATATTGTATAGATGGTTATTAGCTCAAAAGTTAAGGTGATGTGTGACCACTATATAATGGAAAGTGCTGTAGGCTTTGTAAAATGTATTTTACTATTTTGATATCTTGCTCTTTGCTGAGTTTGTCTTCCATATCCCTGTTATCTACAAGAAAGTATTATATTTACTCCAACCTATTGTTTTGTGGTGTCCTTATCAGTATATAATAGTAGGTGTGTGATTAAACTGTCAATAGAACAGTTGATTAGATATCTATGTTGGTTTAGCTTTTAGCTTGGAATGAAAGGATAATTTTTTTTAGAAGGAACATTCAATTATACATTACATATTGTAATGTATGATACAGTTAAATGTATGCATGAGGTATGATACAGTTTGTCCATTGTAAAATATGAATGTGTTTTAAAGAAAAATATGACATAATTTCACAATTTCAATAAGAGGAAAATCTGAAATGTGTAGTAACTTAATCTAAAGATCCACTGGGAGAGAGCAGGATGCAAGGAATAGAACAAGGATGAATATAACACACAAAGTGACCTCTACACCAGTTAGTGTGCTTAAACTGGCAATCATAGAAGATACTTTGCCCTTTTGTTTGACCTTTCTTGTACAGTCCTGAAGTATCCTGTAGAAAGTCCACATAAGCAATTACCATATTTCTAGGTATTTGTTTATTTATGGTAGCAGTGATAAATCTGTATCTACCTTGGACATAATATAATAGTCTTATTGTTCTGTCCTAACCATTTGACTTTTTGTGCAGGCTACTTCCTAATCTTTTATTAATATAATAATTTTTGTCTACAGATAACCAGGAACCTGGGGAAGTGAAAGTCTTTTTAGAAGTAAACTACAGCCCTGTGTTCCATGTCTTCTACGAGGCATTCATCACATTCGAGGGAAATCTACGGCAGAAGGGTGAGCTGGCTGGTTTGCCTGTCATGTAAAAACTTATATTAAGACTCAATGACTGTTTTCATTGCTTTTAATGAGGGATTGTGCATATGTTTATGGTAAGTACAGATCTAAAAAGGAATTCATAATGTTAATTTTAACACTATTATATCTTGCTTTTGCCAGGAACTTTTGCTGTACAACGAAGTCACAGGGAAGACCTAGAATGTTCACTGTATGTGCTTGATCGTCTCCTGTGTATCCTTCCTGAACTATTTGAGCGAAGATGGCAGTGCAACGCACTTACACACATATTCAAAAAAATCCTTCATCCTGGCAACACAGTGCGGTTACGGAGGGAAGCAATGAGGTGAGGACATTTTATTTTCTCTTGTGTTGTTTTTTATCAAAGCATCGTAAAGCAGACGTGCTTGTTTTGATGTAAGTTTACCCATGATGAGATGAATTTATGTCACACTTTACAACTCTTTTATTTACCTACAGGTTGTTCATTCTGTGGTACATGATCGTTGGGGATGCAAAGACTCCAGAGATGGACCGCATGTTTGCCTCCCTCGTTCCAGGGTTCCCCATCCCCCCTCCTGCTGCCATGCCGCCAGACCTGGGTTATGGGGGCATCACCTGCGTGGAGCCCTCGCCGGTCATCCAGCCTTCCAACACGGAGAAGACCCCTGATGACCTTACTTCTTACTTCCTCAGGTCGCTCATGGATTTTATGGTCTCGCAGGTCAGTCAGGATTATTTGTTTTGTTTTGTTTTGAAGTGCTTCCTCATTAAATATTTCTGTTCTTTTATCATCACTTGTGTTATAGAGGTTGTTTCATCAGTTGATAAGAAAGGATTGAATTAATTTCAATAGAAGTAGAATTTAGATTTAGTGTTTTTTTTTTTTTTTTTTAAGAAAATCATAAGGTCTTTCATACAGAAAGCTGAATCCCACATATTTCAAAGGAATATTTGATTTGGAAAGATTATATACTTAGTACGATGGAGGTGATCTTAGATTAAAGAAAACACTCTTTTACAGGTCCGGAGGATTGAGTGGCGAGATCGCACACAACACACCAAATCTTTTTCATACCTGTTTGCAATGTTTCGTGCCTGGTACATGCCACACATTTTCCCCAGTTTCAATCCCGAAAATACACTCTATAAACCTAACCTGGGTAAGTCTCCGTCTTCTTGCCATCTTAGATTCTTTTTCCTTTAGTGTTAGGAAAGGGAGTATGCTTGGAGATGCTTTTTTTAAGTATACTTGAAGCAGTTTGGATTACTCTGATGATGTGATAAGTGAATGATGCAATAGATAGTATTTTAGATATAGACAAACAAAAAAAAAAGTTCTATATTTAGGCATTACTTAAATGCTTAGTTTGTAATAAGGAAAGGTTTCCAAGTGATTGTACATACTTAGGTACTTTATAGACATTAAATTAAGTGATATGATCCCATTCATGTCAAAGCAAAGATTAAAGAACCATTGTGTGTAAGTCCTGTGATTTGCTGTAAGTTGCCATATTTCTACTCAATATTTAAGTCATTGGATTATGATTGTTTTCATCTTATTTGTGCGTAAAGATTTAAAAGTATTTTATATGTGTAACTCAAAGTTGGATTCATAAACAAATGGTACCTAAGAGGACCCATTTCAGTCTCAGGATTGGCATTGGGAAGATGTAAAATTTGGACTACAGAAAAGAATCAGAGCTTAAGCCATTCATGTTGGAGTAAAATTTTGAATAAAATTTGGTGAAGGCAGAGTTAGCACATGCCATTCTGTGCCTATTGTTTGGCACATGTGTTGGATTGTGAGTTACCTTCCTGGCCACAAGACCCAGCTCATTATGTGATTAGACTTTATCAGGTGTTTGGGACGTTTTTGCCATGAAAGGATGTCACCTGGTGTGAATGGTTTATATAAAAAAGTAAAAAGAATTGTTCTCCATAAGAATGGGGAAGAAAATTCCACCTGATTATGTTAAGATTTTGAGGTATTCTTCAAGGAAAAAGGAATTATGAAATGAATATTATACTTTCTCTTCATTTCTTTTTCTTTATTTTTTATATATATTCCAGAACTACCTGAACTGAGGGGCAGTCCTGGTGTGAGTCCTTATGGCACATGTCAGGTGGCCGTTGTGGAGTGGGTGCGGAAATTTGTCATAGCTACCTCACAGCGGAGTGGACAATCGCTATCCTCGGTCAGGTAGGAGAGTTTTATGATGATGAATTTTAATGTTTGTAGCTTTGGTGATTTTTTTTTTTATTTAGATTTATTAGAAGAAGAATGTTTGTGAACTATATATAATTTTTTGTCTTTTGAAGAAGTCTTATTTCTGTTTTATACTGTTGCTAGTGAGGATGATGGACGTCGCTCTGGCCACGGAGATGCACCGGAGGGAAGTACCAGTGACCAGGATTCAGTCACATCAGCATTTTACGTCAGGTATGGAGGATGAATGTTCAGCAGATTTATGGTCTTGTTTTTTTAACTGGTTCAGAGATGGCCTGACAATAAAAAGAAAGAAAAAAATATATATATACACATATAGTCATATGATTATAGGTACACTTAAGTGAGTGTTGTTATTTTCCATTTACATGTTTTTATCGTCACACCCCACAGTGATGAAGGAGGATCAGGAGAGGATGGCATTATGGTGCGCGACATTCTCTTCTCCTCTCGAGAAAATATCAACTTCATCCACGAACTCTTTCGCCAAGCACTGTGTCTTAGTTTCCGTTATGCAGGGGTCATGAAAACTGTAATATTTTCCTACAAAGACTGGATACAGATGAATGTAAGTGGTCCTTGTTATGTTAAAGGGAATCAGAATGTTCAAGCAAATATTCATTTTTTATTTAGGGAAGGGAGGGTTGAATGGTGGCTTCTACTCTATTGCTTGTTCTTGTGTAAGCTCAAGAACTAACTATTGAATTGGTATCTGAGTAAGAATATATAATATGAAACTTTTTTTGAGGTTTGGAGAAGCTTATAATTAAAAAACATTATGTTGTAGACCCCAGAAATGCCCCCCTTCATGCTGGAGCCTTTGGAAGGAGGTACGAGCCCAAGGGACGATGCAGCAGGCTCTATGGAAAACAACAGCCAAAGACGCTTGCGTAATGAATCTTACCTTGGGGCCGTCAACAAAGAGATTCATATTCGAGCTGGCCTTCAGGTAAATAGAGGGTAGAATTATTGTTTATCTGTATATAGTATTTTTTTAAATCTTTATATTGAAAAAGGGATCTAAATATTGACCTATAGATATGTAGAAAGTTATGTTGTTGATACGTACCTAGTTTTGAAAGTCGCGAGAACAAAGCTGTAAGTTGTAGGGCGTATGTGTGTGCTTATGAGATTTATAATAATGTTATTTCCTTTAGAATGTTCTGCAAGTTTTCATCACAAGTGCAGCCAACGTGTTCCTCCTAGAGGTGTCACCCGACTACCCACGTCTCTTGGATGAACAGGTTGAGGTTTGCAAACACGTGCTCAATATTTACCGATACATGGTCATGAACACTCGCATGGAACAGAAAACATGGTAAGTAAACTGTCATTATTTTGTTTTAAACTCTACCTTTACATTGTAACTTACTGATATTGAGTTATACTGGCTGTCGTGGGTATTTGTCATTTGTAAACATTTCTGTCTCTATTAAATGCCCATGAGCACATATGTTTAATTATACAGTCATGGTCATTTGTGTCATTTTTGTTATGATTCCTTATTTTATTTCAAACTAAAAAATGCTTTTTCTTGTAACAGAGTTTAGTAAATTAAGGTACAACAAAAGGGACACAGTTCCAAAATTCAAAGACAATAAGATTTAAGTAAAACATTAATAGTGATGCATGAACATACTCAGGAAGTTTTATGTAAATGTACTAAATAATTACAACTTCAAATATTCTCTACTAGGGAGCAACTACTGGTGGTGCTACTTCACATTACCTCCCAGACTCTCTGCGGTCGACCTGCCACCCACAAAGAGGACTCTCTGGGTGGAAGGTTTGCCTCAGCACTGTTTCAGGTAGGTCACAGTGTAACACTTACTTTTTTAATCAGGTAGGACTGAGATGTGCTGTTTTCCTGTTGATTTATAGGTATTTATGTGTGTGGGGAATGGGATGTGGTGTGCTTATTGTGTAGTTTGAAGTACTGTTAGAATGAACAGGAGAAAATGGTCATGTCAGTGGCATAGAATTAATAAAGTTACAAATTAAAGTTGACTTTATTGTCAGTAATTAAGATGGTCACAATTTCTTTTAGGTTCAGCAAAGGAAAGAGTAAGTTGACAGGTTTGGTTGATGACCAACTGAGGGCTCACTAGTTTCACAGCAGATGTCTGATTCTTTTTCTTTCTTTCTTTGTATGAAGGATTTACTGCATTGCATCCAGAGATTATTGAAGTTTTCCATATGTACGTCACTGGTGACCTCACAAAATGTAATCTGTTGCCAGTCAAAAATGGCATAGGAAGCATAATTTCAAGAAAACCAATACACCAAGTTTTGTGTATGATAGTGAAATTAGGTGTGTGATAGCCAACAGATTTTAGCTTCTAAGGTATATATAATGATAGTAATTCATGAAAGCAGAATGCCTGATAGTAGAGGGTAGAGTGTATTTTGAATACCCTGTAATAAGTGTAAGGTTTGTAAACTTGAATGTAAACATGAAATAAAAGGATTACCAGCAATTGCAATAACACATTTTGAAAGTAAAGGAAAATAATATGAGAACTAATGCCAGTTTTTATACTTTCAGACCCTTATTGTTTCATGGATTAAGGCCAACCTGAGTGTGGTAATCTCAGGCGATCTCTGGGACCAGCTCCTCCTCACTCTCTCGTCCCTTACCCATTGGGACGAGCTTGTCAAGGAGTGGGCTGTAAGTTGCACTGCCTTTTTCATTGTTTCATCTAGTTTTTGGTGTATTAAGTTACAGTACAATTTTTTTTTTTTTTTATGGGATTGGTTGTTCTTTGCTTCACTGCCACATAAACAGTGGTTTTGAAGCCTTAAGTAAAATCTAACCAAGATAATGTGAGACCACCAAGGAGGCCCACCAAGTCTTGTGGTTGCTCTGGCCGAGAAGCTCCAACATTGCTGAACTGTTGTATTAATTTCCATTAGATTTTAAGTAATGAAAAAGCAAAGAAGAAAAGATCAATTACTTTATTGAAAAGTTGAACTTAAGCTAAAATGATAATAGAAACCACATTGCCTTTCAGAAAACATTAGACACTCTAACTAGGGTGCTTGCCCGCCATGTGTACGGCTTGGAGCTCAATAACCTCCCTTTAGAGCGAGTGACAGAGCGCCGGATGATAAAGCGAGGCACCAAGTTAACAGGATTAGATGTAAGTTCGATTTACTTTAAGGATATGTTATACTTTGAGTTTATGATGATAAGATAAGAAATCTCTTTTTTTTATGTTATGTTTTTATGTTTTATGCTACAAATGTACTTGTACATTAATGCCTGTTCTACTCTGTTTGCAGTCTGTAAGAAGCAGTTTTGCCCGAAGCTGGAGTAGTGTGCGCATGGAACGGCAAGTTAGTG